TCCTCCTTTTCTTCCTCATCTCTTCTCTCTCCCCCTCCCTCTCTCCTCCTCCCTCCCTCCATTCCCAACAGTGATGCAGGCTCCAAGGTCTGAGAGGTCCAAGTTTCAGAGGTACCACTTCAAGGCAGGCTGCTGACTCACTTGCTTTTTACTGAGGGCTGATCACTGGCAGGCAGCAGTTCCAGTCCACTAGGACAGTAGGCCAACCGTGAGACCCAGGCACATCTCCACAATCAGATGCTGGAGCCCCCACCAGACCCTCTAGTAGGCTGGCACATGTGGTCCTCTTGCACGTGTCCATTTTTTTTTTTTTTGTCCTTTGGGGTCTCCTACGTAGCTGAACTCAAGTTACTGACTCTGAGATTACTTTCCTTGTCTGTAGAACAAACATCACTGCTGGCCTCTCCCGGGTCAGAGCCACTTGCGGATAGCAAAGCAGGTGCTGGCCCTTGGTCCCTGTGCTCACTCTGGGCCACTAGCACTGGCGTCAGGGGAACCCTGGAAGGTGTGCCTGAGTACAAGGTGGCCAGAGCCTCCCAAGACTGCTGAAACCATGAACTTCTGCAGAACATGGTTCTGAAAGTTTTGGAGGCAGAGAGACTGACACAGCTACCCCAGTTGCAGGAGGAGAATGTATATGCCAGCTGGAGGTTCAGTCTTGATTTTTAAATTCTTTTCATTTTTTGCATTTCCCTAACAGGCTTCTTGCCTTCTGATTTTCCCTCCATCACTCCGGCTCCCAGAGTCCTCTGAGAGAGCAGCCCGCTCAGCCCAGGCAGCTTTTCATGAGAAAGCACAGCGGTGCAGGATGGAGCCAGCAATGCAAACAGCAGCTGGAGGTACACTCCTCAGCGAGACTGGCCCATAAGCACCGCGTCTCTGGTTTTCCACTAGGTAATATGTACGTTCCTGTTGTACACCTAGTGGCAAAGGGTTTTTCTGATGGCCAGGTGGTTTCTTGGTTGGAGAAGGCTCAGCGAGGAAGTGGAGTTCAGCTGAAGGTCATCGGAGGCTACTTGCCCTCCTGCCCCACACTGGGTCCTTTCTACTCACTGCCCGCCCACAGCCGGTAGAGGAGGTGCTGCAGCTGAAGAATTGGTGCCACGCAGGGCGGAGTTCCGCCAGGGCGATGGGGGAGGGGGGTCTGCACATCTCAGAGGATTTGACATTAATTACCACTGTGACTGCTTTCTGTGTGTAACTATTTTCCCGGCACTTTAAGCCATCGAATGTAGAGCTAAACAGGGCCTCCGCCCCCACCGCTCCAGATGTCCCAGCCTGTGGAAACGGCCGCCTCCTGGCTCTCTGGTGGCAGGGCTGTGCGTAACAATCTGGAGGGCCAAGTGTTCAGAGACTTCCTAGGGTTTAGTCTGACATCACTGCAAGCAGATGATAATTACAAGGCTCCTTCGCTCCCCACTCTCCACACCCCAACAAGACACCATGGAGTTATTTATAAACACGAGCCCCTGGGTGCACTTCTCCTGGGAAGGACTGCGCTGACAGCATTAGTGGTGGCGCTAATGGAAGCCAGGAAGCACGCACAGGGACGCACAGAGAGAGGACGATGGGTCAGTAGCTGCCGGGGCCAGGGGCGGGGCTGCTGGCCCTGGCTCTCAGAGATCTGCTGGGTTATAGAACAAGAGAGCCTACTCGGTTGTCTGGTGTGTCAAGGGTGGGGCCGTGAGATGAGCTGCTTTTTCTTTTCCCAGGGCTGGCAGGAACTGGAAATAATTGAAAGTTGTTAGGGTCCAACATGCTGCCTTGAAAACACTATCATTACTCTCCTAATGACTAAGTGTGTCTTCCAGGAGGAGATGCAGGCAGCTGAGGCCTCAGGCTCCTGGAGAGCAAAGCAGGAGGCTGGCAACCTGTAATCTGGGGCAGGGTAGGGGGTGTGCTCTGGCAGAGCCTCCTTTAGCCAGCCTCCAGAGCCTCTATGCAAAGCCCAGGAGGCTGATGGGCTGAGAACCATGCTAGTTTGGATCTTGATTTAAGCCCCTTACCAACACCTGGGCCTTGCAGAAGCCCCTTCCTGTTCACTTCCTAGTGAGACCCCAAGTATGCTGCCTAAGGCTGTCCTCCACCAGACCTCCATCTTCTTCCCTACCACTTAGAGTGCTTTCTCCACCCCCAAGTTAATGTGGGCCCTACTGGAATGGTGCCCACTATTGTCTAGTTTCCCCAGGTGGGAGATCAGAGCCCTGTTCTGAATCCCTGTTTTATTAAGACCCATGGCTGTTGGAGTTGGATGTAGCCTCTGGGGAGGGCTCACAGCACTCCCTTCTCATCCGCACCCAGGCCCTTTCTATTCACAGGTTGTCACTGAATTACACAGGTGATTTGTTTTTATTTATTTATTTATTTATTTTTATTTATTTATGTCTTTTTGAGACAGGGTCTCCCTGTAGCCCCAGCTGTTCTGGAATTCACTATGTAGACCAGGCTGGCCTTGAACTCAAGAGATCCACCTGCCTCTGCCTCCCAAGTACTGGGATTAAAGGTGTGTGCCACCACACCCGCCTTATTTAATTAATTTTTAAAAACTAATTTCTTTTGAGGCAGGGTCTCCCTGTAGCCCCAGCTGGCCTGGAACTCAGTATGTATACCAGGCTGGCCTTGATCTCATAGAGATCCACCTGCCTCTGCCTCCCAAGTACTGGGATTAAAGGTGTGTGCCACCACACCCGCCTTATTTAATTAATTTTTAAAAACTAATTTCTTTTGAGGCAGGGTCTCCCTGTAGCCCCAGCTGGCCTGGAACTCAGTATGTATACCAGGCTGGCCTTGATCTCATAGAGATCCACCTGCCTCCACCTTCCGAGTGCTGGGATTAAAGGTATGTGCCACCATGCCTGGCTCCATGGGTAATATTTGAAGACAAATAAGAATGCACCCTTTCCTGACCCATCCATTCCAGTGGACTGCTGTGTGTGTGTCTGGTGTGGGGTCCAAGTTACTCCCTCAGAGTGGATTCCCTGGACACCATCCCTGTTGATTCTGGGCATTCACAAGGGCCTCATGGCTACAGCAATGAGGCTCCAGGCCTGCAAGTGTCCTTCTGACTCCACAGAAGTCATACTTGTAAGAGACAGGGTGGTGGTGGGGGTAGGCTTTCAGTGGCCCTCTTACACTCAGAAGAGGCAGGGAGCTGGGTGTAGGTCCCTCTGCCTTTAGGTACATCATTATGGCCACCAAATCATTGATGGGTCAGAGGCTTCAGGAATGGATGATAGAGTTTTGTCAACTCCCCATGAATCTCACCCTCAACCTGCCTCTACTCACCCACCTGACAGGAATTATTCTGACGAACCTGGGATGCTGTAGACTCAAGGCTGTAGGAAGCCAGCAAGGCTGACCCTTGGCTCCTGGGTTTCTAGGTAGGGTGGAAGGCAAGGTTGCATCAATGCTCCATGACAAAACGACCCGTCTCCTTCCCTTGGTGTTTCATAGGAAGGAAAAGCTAGGCCACAATCAGATGAAAGTTTCGTTTTATGAAAACTATAGTAATAGAAATAAAACAAAGTAAGATATCGCCTGGGAAGAGGTGCGCAGAGGATAATGAAATAACAACAACGACGTTTTCTGAGGACAGCCACCGCAGCCAGCTCTTCCAACGGTTCTCAGTCTTGAGTCACCTGGAGACAGGTGTGCAGGTCCCGCACCTGAGAGCTCCTGGACACAAGTTCAGTCTGCAGTCCGAGATAGATAGGAGAGCAGACGCTCCATCGCCGAAGGGCACCCAGTGAGGGGCGGCGCCGCAGGTTGCGAGGGGCAGCGTGTCAAATGCCAGTCCCAGACCCCAGTGCGCGCAGGACTGTGCAACTGTAGTCTCTGGCTAGCCGCGCGTGCGGCGCGCGGGGATTGCAGATCAGCGCTCTTGAGGACCGCTGGAGCGGCTGCGTGCCTGCAGCCATCCCGCATGCCCTCCCTCCTGGCCCTCCTCCTGCCCCGCACCGTCCGGCCCCTCCCGGCGCCTCCCGGTCCTTCCCCTCCTCTCCCCTCCCCC